TTCGGACACATTTGCGGCTTCCCATACATTTCTTTGCAAATTTTAGAATTTTCGAAATCTCGTAACTCGTTCACTATTGAACCGATTGACACCAGATTTTGGAATTTTGCATTTCTCAACAAGGGCTTTCTTTATATTTAAGTCTTATCTCGTGATTATCCAATTAGGGGATTTTGCCCAGTCCCCACTCGGTTTGAAATCCGGCAATAAATCTCACCTTGTGAACTAGGAACTGCTAACACTAACAGTGATGTTAATCCACATAATAACATAAACGTAACGTATCCAATACGACGACCACATCTACAAATATACAACAAAATGGACTCGCTGCGAAGCTTATGAAATACTTATGATAGTATTATTAATACTTTATAATAATTTATGACTTCGTTGCCGCGCAAGCGATTTTTATTTAACGCTKTTTTGGGTTGACTGACATGCAACACAGATCAATTATAAGAATCCTTTACAGGAGTCGACTTAGCAAAATAACAATATCTTTGTTACTTAGTTCAAGAAGGCAATTTGAACATTAAAAATTGAACATTTTTCTTACTTCTTAAAGGCGATCCACAAAGCAAATGCACTGGGAAATCCAACAACGGACAGTATTAAAAGATTGAGATGAAATGATCCTCCAAGATTTTTTGCATTTAACGTTATCCCATAGAAAACGACAGAATTAACAAACCTGTGAACGAATCATAATATAACTGAGCTGGCTAGCTATCAATATGCAGACAGGGAGTTTTTTATGATGACCATAAGAGTGTTATTCATTCCTGAGTGTAAATGTTTCGAACCATGCATGAGCATATTGTATTCGACTTCAAACCAACCTCGTTCCCAGGTCTTTTCCTGAACTCAAACAAAGGGATAGGTAGGACCTGGGGAAGAGGTTGACGTCGAACAATAAACTCACCAATTATAACTCAATATCAAAGTCCTTTTCATCATTTTCTTAGTCTTTACAAGATCTAGAATTCCAGACTTTACAACTGCAGCATCGGCKGTTTGTTGTTCTTGATAATCTTTGACACCTTTGACCAGTGCTTCAAGCTGCTTTGGATCAATCTTACACCCATTTGCCGCAGCAAACTTTTCAAAGATTTTTTGAGCATCTTGAAGTCTTCCTTTCGCTATGAGCCAAGAAGGAGATTCTGGGATCCACCTATTGGTTCACAGATTAATGCGGCCGATAATCATTAGTTACATACATTTAGTGTTTGTGAAGGGCGTAACTGATCCAATTTATGGCAACAAGAGAACGACCTCGCAGCCCTCAAAGCAGACATTTCGCAGGCTAACTTAAGGGCTTTCAACTGTTGTTGTGTAGGTTCTACATTGTAGTCTTGCTCTGGGATTTTATTTGATTTAGAAAGCGTCTCTTTTACTTTTTCCGAGGATAAGAGGAAATAGGATTGAAGAGAATCTGCCTAAATAAACAGGAGATAAARCACTCTTACTTACTTCCAAAAGAAAAGGGGTGGGATGCAAAGAAGAGTAGCAGTCAACATCAAGTTTCTCCAGTCTGTCAACCAAAACGCTATTCCACTTAGAGTGATGCCGCCAATCGTAAAAAATAGGTTGATGATAGAACCAAGAGTTGTTCGTAGTTTCACAGTCGATACYTCCATCGAGTAAACAAACCGAACCAACAAAACACCRGCCGTCCCGACACCCGCACCGAACCGCATAACAGCAAAAAGTGTGAAACTGTTGGCAAACGCTGAGCCAAATCCAAATATCACCTGAAGGAAAGAAAATGAAATATAAGCCATTATGAACTGCGTGCTTTGCTTTGTAAAGACGTGTCATTGGCAGACGAAGGCTTTGAAATGAAATCACTAAGGGAGACGCGTTTGTTCGGTCAAAGATTGAACCCCTCCCTTGTCGGATGATGAAACCCCTGCACCCACCCCTGATCAGGCTCTCTTAGAGGAGATTCCAGAGGAATGACAAAYTACTTCGAGCTAGAGAGCMTGGGCCTGAGCCCGAGTCGGTCAATGAAATTGTCACGCATCAATAGCCGACTTGCGAATTACGCATCAATAGTCACATACAAAGGAATCAAGACGAGGCGCCGTGCTTTTTTGTGAAAAATCTATTGTCTTTAGCACGGCGCCTCGTCTTGATTCCTTTGTATGTGACTATTGATGCGTAATTCGCAAGTCGGCTATTAGCGAGCTCGAATCAGTGCACATGGTTTGAGTTACTATAGTAATTACCATCAAAACGAAGCYGATGAATAGTGCCGGTCTCCTGCCAAAATGGTCAGACAACTTGCCYATACCAACAGAACCAACCAACAGACCCCCATAAAACACTGACTGAGACAACGGTTTAAGATGGCCTTTATCACAGATCAGCTCCCACTGAAACACAAAATGTAGTCTATACTACTTGGTCTACTTGACATTGTRATAGGCAACYACCATCACATAGGAGCGAGGTTGAAATGGACCCTTGGGGAGGTAGACTGGGGGAATGAAAGGATGTAAACAACGGTATAAGATGTCTGTCTTTGCAGGGTCAACATACTTGACTGATCGAAACTCTGGTTCTAAAATCCTGCATATGTAAATACAGTGTGCAAGGTCACGCGATTCTATACAACAATAGTTCGGGCTACCATGCATGTCGCCAAACATCTACATCGCTAGAACAACAGTTGACAATAGTACTTTGGTGGTTTAATTGTGTAAAATACCTAAGGATAAAGTAATAAAAAACATCTGATATAGTCACGCACTGAAACCTTTGCAAAATTGCATCGATTTCAAATATCATTGCATATTAGAATAATGCAACGTCTAGAGTACACATCTTCGTACGTCTCATCTACCTCCGTGTGGGCCAGTCTATATCCAAATGCGGGTTTTCGCTATTTTATACAGAATCTGAGTATAGACTACTTTTAAGTTCTGGTAATCAGTCAAGTAGGCTCCAACCCAGGACTAAAAACCTGTACAAAATGATTAATGAGGAAGTGGTGGTGTTCATAATTGGATCACAACAATAATGAATAAAATATAAGCAGAGTTTTTGACGGTATTAACAGTGGCCGATGCTTACTCGTCAGACAGTGGCCCGGATGTCATGGATCAAGCATARGAACTTCACTTAACAGCATACCGTATTTTATGGCCAACAATCTCTGCTTRATATTTACCTCTGACACTGCACTTGTGAATTCATCATCAAACACGTATGTACAATTAGTACATCCACATTTATTGATACCGCAGACCGTGGTGTTGGAGCTTGAATCCCATGGCTTGCATTGGTAGTTAGGTGCAGAGCCATAGTAGGGCTGTATGAAATTCTGGAAGTCAATGCAAATCGTCGCATAGCACATGAATACAAACATTAAAATTGGATATCGACCAAACCCTCCAATTGCATTCCATAAATCTTCAAAGTGAACAGCTCGCCTTGGTTGTTTTGCGTCCATGATGAGACGAYGAGACTCTGCTTCTAGTGATGTTTCTTTTGTATCACTTGACATCTCGGACGTCCAGTCTTGGCAATTGACAATTTGACAGGGAAAGATGAAGCGATAAGTATACAAGAGTTATTGAAAGCTGTAATTTTATATTTTGTATAGCCCGATTAGTTTCTGTTGAATTAATAGGTGTCAAGGGTTAGTAAAAGAGATTTTAGTAAATCTGGAACGCTTCAGGATCACCAAACTATCAAGGTAGATGCACGATTTCAAAAGACCCCTTTCTTGCTAAGAAATATAGTGAAACATACTATATGTTTACTGAATTAGYGCATCAACATTTATATCTACGACACAGGATTTTTCTCATTATTCTGAGTTTTTCAGCTTGAAAGTTTGAACACCGGGGGGGGGGGACCCCTTGGTTGGGGGTGTGCCGCACGACCCTCAAAACCCTTACCCTATCCCAGACCAATCTTTAGTTTATCCATCTAAACGCAACGGAACACAAAGAATAGATGCCACGCCCAATAAAGGTCTTTGCTCATTTAAACTTCCCTCCCTTTTTTCCTGAATGAATTTATATTCTCGGCGTTATGAAGTCACGGAAAAGCAATTATTTTTGAAACAAAAAAACATACAACCACTTTAACATTAGAAAAATGCAGCCAAGTTTAATTTTTGACGTAGATCAAGAAACTCGTAGTTCGTGTTTTATCGTGGATCGCACGATAAAACACTCCTACTCGTTTTTTAAATATAGCTTAAAGAACTGATGTTAATTCATCATTGTTTTATCGAATTGAAAACACAGATATTGCAACTTGACACCACCTTTGCTGGATTTTAGATGCACGAGTTTGTATTGCAGACGAAATACATAATCCTGTTTTATAAACAACACATACCCATATACACTTTTATTTTTATTGTTCAAATAATGAATTTATGCAAAWTTAAAGTTTATTTAAAAATTCAATTTCAGCACAATTGAGTGCATGTTTCTTTACTTAATTAAAATCAAAAAGTTTAGGGAAAAAAACAAATTTCTTTCAAGATGAAACATATCATATTATTCCATAGTGAAGTGTTCTCAAAAACGAAAATTTTGACAAAAACTAGTGAACAGTTCAGGAACATATTAGTGCCAACCAATGCTAATTCATTATTATAGTAACAAGCACTTGAATGTCAATTGTAAAATCATGAAAATAGCACTAAYCAAAGAGTGCTAAATAGCACTAAATTGAGTCAATTTGAGTGATTAGGCTGAGAATGATGGATTATGTGGCATAATAATCATTTTGCATTATGCATTGATGTTGCACACTCTACTGCTAATGATGATGATTCACTAGTAACATTAAAATTTATTATCAAGCAGAATYAATATATTTTTACATGTCTTCTCCTCATATTTTATGACAAACAGAAAGTTAATTCAACTCTCTCTCTCTCTCTCTATGATATTTTTGCTTCACTTTTCTTATTCCCTRTACTTAGTTACTGAACACGTTTCTGGCCTTCTACCACACAGGTAGGGGATTATCTCTAAGGACTACATATCTTAGCTTACTGTACTCATTGAAGTTGGTCAATACAAAGTATCAAGGGAAGCMTACTAAGTATTTTGACAGGCTTTTATACAGGTCTTTTTACTCTATGCAGGGACGTATCCAGTTCCTAACATACCAAATCATCACTATGACATCATATGACGTTAATATGATGTCATATCAATCTATGATTTTCGTGTTTTTTTTGGCTTTGAAAGGGGGGGTCACGGGCATCCTGTGATCCCCCCCCCTGGATACGCTCCAGCTATGATAACAATACTATGTACAAAATGTTTATTCAACAGTACCATGGCATCATTAATGTCTAATTCTTTTTACTTGAGTTTATACACCCATGCCAGTCCATACCACTACAGGCAGCAGATATGATGAAGTATAAAATGAGCTGAAAAAAAAAAAAAACAACCAAAACCAACATGAAAATAAAATTTAATGCACTTAACATCATCACTGTCATCACAATCATTTTATTAACATTGTTCCATTGTAAGAAAATAGAAATAGCTAGCGCAGTACTTGCCAATAAAAATCTATTTCTACACATGTCAGATAGAGCAAACGCAGGAAAACCATGAAATAAAATCAAAGTAAATACTAACAAATAGCACCTATTTAGAGACAAATTGTCAGTATCAATGAACCAGAATACAATGAAGATGAATGAAAAATGGTCCCATGTGGATTCATCTTCATTGTGTTCTGGTTCACATGACAATCTCTTGATTGTAWTTTATTATATATTTCTTCAAACTTTGTCTTTTTTAAGTCACCCAACACATAAACTACAACATTTATCATCATCAATCATTATGAGAAAATCTGGAATTTCTACTTACGATAACAACAATAACAATAATGATGGTGATTTTGACATTCTTCCACCACATTGCTCTGGCCAGGCCTTTACTGGACTTTTTGAATGTGAGTGACTGCAATTAAAAAAGTACAAAGAATTGAACAAAAAATGTAAGCCTTGAATTAACCAATGTAATTAATTCATTTGCACAAAATCATTTTGCAGTAGGTAAAYGCTTGGCAAAATGTTTGAGGTAGTCAATTTTATGTTCAACCTATTGTCAAACCTTGACATATTGCTGGTTAACTATAGTTCAGAATTTTCATTAAATTTGGAATTAGATATCTATTCTGATAAAATAACTCCATGTAAATCATAAGGAGCCAGTASAACGATAATATGACAAAAGCAGCCAGCCAAAAGGTCAAAACAGAATCCAGATTTAGCCAGTTGCTGGCTTAGAATGAAAATATTGAGGGCTGGTAACACAACAAAAATCAATAAGTAAATTCAATTTCACAATGTTTCTACRTTTGAACTGACATTTGCACCTTTTGGTTATATAGTTGATGTTTTTTTAGTATGTTGCAGTTAAAAAGTTCATGTCATGTGGTTTTTACATACTTACTGTAGTATTCAGGTCCTCAGCTTTATCAATAAGCAATTCAAGTCGTTCCCCTCTGCTTGCAATACTGTCAATATTTTTGACCATAATTCCTCTCAATTCATCAAGTTCTCCTTGAACTCTGGATAGATTATCAGCACCTTCTGAACTTTCTGAAAATCGTTTCTGAAAATGAAATGATAAATATGTCATACATAAAGGTTTCTTGTAATATCTTTGAAACTTTTAAGTTAAAAGAAGCATTTTTCTTGAMAGTCTTTATCTCAAGTGAAAATYATTTAGCATAAGTCTCAATRCTCACCATYTCAGCTGAYAAAACTCGAGAAAATTCACTGTTCATAGCATAAGGCAATGCAGTTTGAGCTCGCCCATGGTAAGCAGTTTGAAATCTGAAAATAAAATGGTTACCAATACAATGAAATATTTTTTAGGAACCTTTTCCAACAAGCAATGATGACACTGAAGATGATTGAGAGATTTTAGGTAACAGATTACCTTCTTTTGATTTCATTCAGAAAGTGGAATGCCCGTGATCTTTCAAAGTTCTACAAGAAAATCAGTCATATGTGTTGTTCAGTGTTGTTTAGCACTGTGTACTTACTATAATATACAAATAACATGATACTCATGTATTGCGTACTTACTATAATATACAAATAACATGATACTCATGTACTGTGTACTTACTATAATATACAAATAACATGATACTCATTCTATCAATACAATACAACAACAATTAATGACTTTATTTAGTGAAAATAAAAAACATTTATCTATAATGCAGTTTGGATATAAAATAGATGTAAGTGGCACAGGCTACCTATAATAACAACAAAGTTAACCAAAAGCAAGTAGAAAATGATAAAATGATCTACTTACATCATCTGTGATACAAAGATAAATTATCCTGTCCTCTGATATATAGTGAAACAAATAGCTGGAAAACAAGATCATAATAAGTATTTAAGGATAACAAGGCAATTTATAAGAATTAGAGCAGATTTCGTATGAGTGGGAAACGGACAGTACTGTACTGTGACTGTAATCGTACTGTAACCAAATTCTAGTGCGGTACCCGTGCGGTAACGGTGTCCCACTCATACGAAATCCGCTCTAATTTTTTAATGACTTTCAAAACTAATTTTTTTACCATACTTAAAATGACCATGTGCAAATTAATACAGGAAATATAAATTAGTATAGGAAATTATAATATAATATCAAATATACAGTTTCACAAGGATGAATCTCATTTACCTTCCTTGAGTGTATGTTAATTTGGAATTATCTGGTGGAATTCTTGCAAGAATTTGTTCAGTGACTTCAGCAAAGTTTCCRGCACAAGCAGCAAACTTTGCCAAGATAGTAGTACTTCTTGAKACTACACTGTAGAGTATTGGCATGATTGTCCTCAACCTACATACAAATTAACAATAAGATCACTTCTCTAAAAATATGGCAAGTATTTTATGAAAGTGAATTAACTGCCACATGTGCACAGCATGATTGACGACTTTATCAATTCTTCAAAAAAATAGTTTTTGTTTTGAATATGTTTTTTAAAGAAAATAGGCAAGTTTATATGCTGCTTCATTGAACAAAGTTATTTGATTAATCCTACTGATTAATTTGTTCCCAACAAATGACATCAAAGTAACTGACATGTGTGACCATGTGTCAGCAATGCAATTGCTTATTTCACAACAATTATTATCATATTGTAAGTCATACATATTAATACACATTACATACAGTTATAAAATTAGATGTTTCATTATCTTAATATTATGACTAGATTACATWGTTTTCCCATTATTGTGGTAGGGTATCGTAGATAAAAGATAATTTTAAAGAGTTTTAACAATGAGCGTCGCTTTTATACTTATTTGTGAAAATATCAGTACCATATTGTCACAGATTATTGTACATGCCACATAAATCTTGAGACATTCCTTATTACATCAAATAAGAACAACGAATAAAAGAAAAACGCTAAGGGACGTCAACGAAAGCTTGTAAAGATGAAAAATATAGAGCATAATAAAACCTGTCGAAGTACAAAGTCACGAGACCTGACCAAACAAATTTTCACAACACGAGTACTACCGAGTACTACACAAAACAATTTGCTCATTTGAACAATGTACATCAATAAATACAGTAATACAGCAATGTTATACCTACCTTACGCCAAGTTAGACTCTTTTCTAGTAAAGAAATATAAAATATTTTGGTTCGTATCACTTCCTTCGATTGCCTAAAACTAGACCTAGTGCCTCCTCTATAWGTATCAGCTGGAAARGGATTGGGCACTAAGAATTCTCCGCTGGACAARGTTACAGCAGACTTGAAATTCAAGATGGCGGACGAGGATGAACCTGAAAAGCATAAACTTGAAGTTGTAAGTACAATTATTCACCAAATACAACTACACAAAACACAAATACAACAATATGCATTGTTAAAGCTCGAAATTCTAGTAGTAAAAGACATACTTTGTATTTAGGATGTTTCAATAACGTATCAGGATTTGTTTTGATAAATTTCATATATCATGAAAGATCATTTTTATACACACATGTCTGTCAGCGCGTGGCAAAATCATGGAGTTACCCAGGAGGCCTGAGCCTATAATACTCTGTATACTGTTATATCGTTCTAAAAGCTGTTTTGTATTGTACCAGAAGTTGCATCTTGAGTTAATTATAAAAGTTTTGCAAAGTATTTTTAACATTATGTTTTTTTTCATTTAAGAGTGATAGCTGAGTGTTTTAGTTTTGTGTTTGTTTTTCCCTTTTCATCTAATTAATGCAAATTTGTTATCAGATCCCCACAGGTGATCCCGACGATGAAACATGTGCAACATTTGTCATGCATGGAGAAGATCACACCCTTGGCAACTCTCTCAGATACATGATTATGAAGAAGTAAGATATTTTTATTTTTGTATCCCTTCACCTTAGATTCTGTTATGATGGCTTCATGATTGATGAAAATGCATTCCTCAAGACAGATTGATCAGTTGTCATTACTGTGTTTATTTTATTCATGTATTGATTTTTTTTTTTCAGCCCTGAAGTTAAGTTTTGTGGCTACTCACTTCCTCATCCATCAGAAAATAAAATCAATTTAAGAATACAAACTTATGGTAAGCTTATTATTCTCAATCCTACCTAAAGATCTCTTTAAATACTGGCAATATAAAAGGCTGTTTTCAACMTATTGCGCATGGAAACAATCTGCAAAATCATGATAATTTTGTAGRCAAGTTTCAAGTAAAAATTACAGCAGGGATGCCAACTCTCCCGGATAATCCGGGRGTCTCAAGATTTTCGACCRTTTCTCCCRGTCTCAAGATTTTACTGCTAAATCTCCCGGATAATGACGATTCATATATCAGTTTTTTTGAAATATCTCTTTTCATCTATTAAAACTCAAATTACATTGCATATCATTTTAGTTCTGAAAAAATAAAAAAATCCCAGTCTTCTGATAACAATAACACTGCACGCCATCCGCGGCCATTTTCAATTGCACAATACAATCTATAATATGATTGGTTAAGATACATCCAGTCAAATCACTAGTTATAACGAAATTTGATAAATGCGATGACGTCATCGATAATGTTATGAAACGTCATTTCCGGTATGACGTCATCATTTTCGTTCTCAAGATTTGAAAAGTTCGGGGGTTGGCATCCCTGTTACAGTGTGTTAACATTTATGTATGAGAACAATCTTCAGTCTGTTGATTTAAAATCACAAAGAATGTACAGGCAAAAAATTTTGAAATTAATAAAAAATAAATAATTTTTTTTTTAAATTTTAGTATTAAAATTTTTAAAATTAATTTACCACGACTGATTGTTAATATTATATATATATATTTTTTCTTATTTTTCTTAATCATATTGTAATGGGTTGTGGGGCTATATGTGCGGTTGCGCGATGGACTGACAGACCAGCGGTTGGTTGACATCTTTCCTTTGTGCTCCGCTTTACACTCACTTCGATGATCTTATAAATTCTTATAGTTGTGTGACCAGGTTGAAAAGTGATGTAGTTTAGTTGTACTTCACAGGTTCACTTTGATAAGTTGTTGGAAAAACATAACACAGAGAAAACCGACACAACCACATAAGACCAAACCTGGAGCAGAACTGATTTAAGCTTACTTGCGTAAAACGCGCTCTACAAACGTGATCGTTCACTCTATTTTCCAAATATGGGTGTCACATAATCTTGACCTTGTCACAGTTGATTTGTAAAAGCATTGATACCCATGTATAATGCATTTTAAGAAATAAATTATTATTATTATTATTATTAGTGCAATTTGAGAACAGCATACATAGTGTACATGTGGTGTTGCAAACTGGTCAATGTAAAAATGTTTGAATAATCCTTGGTTTTTGCAGATTGAGGGATTGACATGATTTCTACAGATTTTTTATCATTTAGGAGAATTATTTGTTCCTTAGTCTCCTTTGCAGCCTCCCCTTTTGTTGGGCTTCCTGTGGACAGGAAGTCCGACAAAAGTGGAGGCTGCGAAGGAGACTATTTGTTCATAAGCTAAGCATTGGTTRTGGTTYTTAGGTTCTCCTGCCACAGATGTTCTAAGGAGAGGATTGTCAGAATTGTCAACTCTTTGTGAGCATGCACTTGCTACATTTGAGGTATSAYAATGAAATGGTACTTTCYRTTTTGCACCCAGAACCTTTTAAGTTTTCCATTTGAAGCCTCTGGTTGGAAACAACCGGTACTGGAAGATCCAAAATGTTATAGGATATAACATACTGAAGGCATATGGGAATTTTTTGAACCAATCAAATCAAAGACTCTTTTGTCTCCAACTTTGATTTTCCATTGGGAAACTGAGAAGGATCTAGGTACAAATATGAGGTGCATTTAAAATCACTAAGGTGTACATGTATTTATTTTGTAACTGTTAATTAGTAAATTTTAAAAGAAATTTAGTAGATACAATTTTTGAGTAACATACTTAGTGTGCTACTCTAGATGATAATTAATTTTAATCTACAATAATAATATAAAAATATAAATAATTTATAGTTTTTTTCCTCCCCTACCCTCTAATCTTATATCCACACACACAAAAATTAGATTCATTATGAAAACCTAGTTCTTTGTTTGAATTTATGGTGTAATGGCATAAAGTGTACATTGTCATATGTCAAGTTATATCTYCACAATGTAACAAAGAAAATAGACAAAAAATATGCTGTCAGATGTTTCCTCAATTCTGTGTCCTTCCACATAAACTAATACCTGTTAATAATTGAACTTATGGTGTACATTAATGATTTTAGGCATCCGTGAATGATTACAAAGAAATGAAAACAAAGAGAAGACATAGCGGATCATTTTCATCTTCTGATGAATCATAAAAATTACATTGTAAATAGATTTTTCAAAAACCTTTATTCTCAATAAATAAGATTTGTAATTTCAGGGAAAAAGGACTTGATTATGTTTGGAGGGATTTTCTAAAACAACTTTAATGATACCAGCTCACATTGTTTTCATGTATTGTTTGAAAGCTGTTCCTGGACATAAATAKTAATTTTACTGCTAAATGGAGAAGCAAAAACTAATTGCACAGGTGAAAACTTGAGATGGTGAATGAACTGCTAATTGATACATTATTTAMCTAAAGTAAAAGTCAATTTCGTTTTCTGATGAATTTTAGAATTCTCTTGTAGTCTAATATCAAGTTAAGCATAATTTTTAAAAAGAAATTGTGATAGCATAAGCGTTTRATGAATTCAAAAGAAAACAAATGAGTTAAAAAAGATGGGGAAGCTACGCGTCTGTCTTAAGATTGACCTGCAACTCGACCACCTTCCCAACATAACGTCAACCGCCTCCCACCAGAGGAAAGAGAAGAAAATAAACCTAGCAACATGTCTTTCATCTCAGACTGCCAAAAAAACTACTTGAACAACAAAATAAATTGAAAGATAAATATTGCGCAGGTGTGAGATAAATTAGAAATCGAGTCGTCATCCTGTAAGCCTCTTGTAACAGGAAAATGAAGTACGTGCTCCGAAAATGAAAGTTATAAATTGTAGTATTTTTAGTAAAAGGCGTCACAAATATGAAATCCGGTACCGAAATTTAACAGAGTGTAAACTAAAACGCCATGTAGTTGTCATATTTCGGCTTGTTCACAAACAGCCATTAAGAGATTGTCTGGTCAAATATTATATCGAAAGGAATTAAAACACTGTCAAAGTTTTGCGCACCATTAACGCCTTTTATAGAAACTGAACATTTCTAAAAGGAATGGATATTAAAGTAATCTATTAATGATTTTTTTCAGTTAAAGACAATGAAAATCTTCCGTAAAGTTCCTGGTATCTCTTTGTGTTGAGTATAGAACTAAAGTTTCACTGATAAGCGCTGGAAAGTTCACGTTGTTTATTCTCTCTGAAAGGTTTTAGGCGATAAAATAAATATACGTGCAAATGACCTCGTTTAAACGCCAAACAAAAAACACATGGCARTAATTGTCTGTACAAATGATACAAAAAACATTGAAAAAATTCACGCGTCTTATTTCTCTAATATCAGTGTGAATGGAACAAAAAAAAACATACACGCATTTCACTTGACTTAAATTCTTTTAATATTTTAAAATTTCTCGGTGCGARTTGGACAGAATGACTTTTGAATTGACTTTTTAAATGAATTTTTTTTCTGAATTTAAAAGTTAAATCATAATATATCAAAAACAATATACTAGAAAATATATTATGTCGTATTTTGAAGCAAAGTTAGCAAAGTGACTGGCTTTGTGTCCTTTGTTCTCTCGTGTTCTCGGGCGGTTTTCAAAGAGCTGCCACATCTCGACTAAGAGACTGATTTCCTTCGTGTATTTTATTGTAGCAACAGACTAGCCTACTAAAAACGTTTCGTAGGATCTTATTGTACTCTTGTCTGAACGCCCTACTAGCTATTCCATATATAATTGGGTTGACTGTACTGGATATATAAACTAAAAACCCATATGCCAAATAAGTTCGTCTTGCGAGAACAGGCGTACCATTGATAGCATCGATATAATCAATGACACTCACGGGCATCCAGCAACACGCAAAACCCAGGAATACAACCGCTAAAGTCTTGGTGATCTTTGTCTCTCGTACATTAGCACGAAGCTCGTCTGGAGTTGYTTCCTTTAAGGTGAACACTTTGTTTGTTCGATAAACTGTTTTGAAAACTGATGAGTAGCAGTATGTTATTAGGAGAAGTGGAAGTCCAATGTAGACAATCTCTATAAAGGCTGTGAAGGGAATATTGGCTTCAAACTCATAAAGGCACATTGCTTTTCCAGGTTGAAACGAGAAGCCACCGACATCGAAGAATAAGGGCGGGACTGAACCGATTAGTGCATTTAACCACATCAGGAAGATATAGAGAATTGTTCGCTTCTTCTTGAAAAGTCTTGCGTACTTTGCCGTTTTAAGCATGCAGAAATAGCGATTCACTGAAACTAGAGTCATCGTGTGTAGAGAGRCTAAGCCAAGAGTCAATACACAGAAACCATGTATGCGGCAAACGATRTCATCCAGCATCCATCGTCCGCGAATCAAAGTTATCAAAGAAAGTGGCATACAAATTATTGACATCAGTATATCGCTGACCGCAAGTCCAAGAATGAACATGTTGGAAATGCTACGTAAATTACGGTTTCTGTAAATAGCGCAGAATACCATGGAATTTCCCAGGATTCCAAAAAATAGAACCAAGGCCATAACAGTGGACTCGAGCACGACCAAAACTGCTCCTCGATCCTCTAAAGCTTCTTGTAGGCGGGAGACTATCATTTCACAGTGAAAAGTGAAGATGATCCGCTTCATACAAGTGACACTGACCTTTTTTCTTTTTTCTTATTAAAACGAGCGTTTGAATTAAAAGTAATAGTATRCACCGTCTATCCCGCCGAAAACACCTATCATTTGTCAATGCACAAATTTAATAGYCAACAAACTTGACAGACTTGACGAGTAACTGACGTAACGTCAAGAAAAACCAATAGGTGTACTACAATTTATCCCTTTAGATTGAAATACTCACTAATGAGAAAGTTTTAATTGAAACCCCTTAACATGCATGGTCAATTCTTTAATCTTCTCTCCTATTTATTATTATAACGTGTATTATAAATCCACAACTGATTCATTCACATTGCTATCCAGATGTCAATCATATGACGTCGTGATGAGAGCGCTTTTTAAGGTGGCCGCAACTGACTCAATAATTGCGCTTACAAACATCTTTCCCGCAGAAAACTTGAAAATAAATGCAAAACGGTCTGCTTGTATAGAACTGCGGTAAATATTTACTTAATTTCACTGTAAAAAGTTTGCAGATTTGTTTAATTATTTGCATTCRACTCGAATTGGGCAGGTTCTTTACCAAACAAGCGTTTAATTTTGAAGGAGTTATATATGTATATATATGTAAATACATATGATGGTAAAACCTTTTTCGATAAAAGCTAATCTGCGCCATGTCCGGACTTTTCATCTCCATTTCCACTTGAAGTAATCCGTCTCGAAGTCACGCAGGCTGATAAAGGCCATGTATAAAATGATAGCATAAAACTTGACTTGTTTATAAAGTGGACTATTTCAAAGTAGAGTAATTAACCAATATTCTGTAAATACCGAGTGTGTACTTGTGAYCAATACTTGAACAAAACAAGCGAAGAGTCTGTAACTATTATACTACTCTATCAAGCTATTCTCATACGAGAACGAAAATCACTTCATGTATAACTCGACTCGAAAATCACGAAAATCAATGAGCAAAAACTGAAAACGCACAGTTTTATGACTGTTGTTGAAATATCGAAAGRCAAACCAGTATTTCATGTAATAAAACAAGCAAACAATCGTCAGAATGTTGTTGAATACTTMATGCYTCGSGAGGGGGTTTAAAAGGATGGGACTCATGGGGGGAGGGAGGGGGTAAGACAAGGCTGTTCTTCAAAAGCTAATACACGTGAATCTTAAGGAACAACAACTAGTAAAAAAACATAATTTGGCAAAAGCAGATGCTGGATTTTTTCCAGTAGTTGACTTCTAATAAAAAAAGGTTCCAAAAAGGTTCTTTCAAGTGTGTTTTTTTAAATGATGTGCCAAACTGCTCTTACGAGAAAATTTCTTTTTGCAGTAACAA